GGGGAAGGCCTGGGTCGCTTCCAGCCTGTTTGGTGTCTCGCGGGCTGTCCAGGTGAGTGCTGCCACCGGCTAAAGCAGTGCTGTGTGCCCCCTCTTTGAAGATGCCTTAAAGCTGCTGTGTCACCCTGCTCTGCCCCTTCCCTGTGACGTTTTTTCTGCATTTTCCCCTTATTCCTCCCATCATCATGAGCTCTTGGGGCACCCAGAATCATTGCTGCTGGGACTGGTCAAGATGGGGCAAAGTCCTAGGGTCTCTATGTGACCAGGAGGTTGGGCTCACACCTTCACTAACTCTTCCCTTGCAGGAGTTTGGTCTGGCCAGGTTCAAAAGCAACGTGACCAAGAGCACTAAGGGATTTGAATACGTGCTAGCAAGAATGCAAGGTGAGCACCCAAGACCAGGCTGGGTCTGACCAGGAGAGGTCTCTTGGAGTTACAGATCACACTGGGAACACGCTGGTCTATGGGCAGGTTATGGCTCGAACTAATTGGACTGAAATCCTCATCCTGTGCCTTTGCCCCCATGTCTTGGCACAGGTTGCTCTGCCTGAGTGGAGCAGCCTGCCAGCACTTACAGGGCAGGGCAGGGGTGGAGTGCGGGCAGGAGGGGAACGTGGTAGAGCAGCAGTCACGTGCCTGTGGTTCCCCTTAGTGACGTGCCCTGACACACGCAGGTCAGGAGCGCTGGGCTCGGCTTCCCAGCTGCGTGAGGAAGTCATGACGGGGCCGGTCTGGCCTGTATCAGCCGGCACTCCTGTGTCGGGTCTGGGCAGAGGCCTGGCAGGGCTGGGTTAACAGCTTTCATGTTACAGGAGAAGCTCCATCCAAAACGCTGGTTGAGACAGCCAAGGAAGCGACAGAGAAAGCCAAGGAGACAGCTCTGGCTGCAACGGAGAAAGCAAAGGACTTGGCGAGCAAGGCGGCCACCAAGAAGAAGCAGTACGTGTGAGGGGCCAGGCACAGGTGGGCACCGGCTGCACCAGAACAGATAGGAGCCTCCTTAGATTTTATATTTTTAAGCAAACTGTTCAAGTCTGACAATCAGCTGCTGTTAGACCCTCTCCGAGATGTAATTATCATTAAAGAATCCACGCCTGCCTCTTGACTTGGCCTGGCTAAAGCAGAGCCCAGTGCTACCCTCTGCTCCGGGGGTCCAGCCTTTCTCCAGGGGTCTGGGTTCACAGGCAAGACGCAGCGGGGGTTTCACCAGATGTCTTTACTAGAACAATGTCGGTTATGTACAAGAGACGGGGGGCGGCTGCGGGAGCATGAAGCCTGGTTTCATAATGCACTTGTTTCCCCTTCCTGGCTTTCCAGGCGGGGCAGAGGCCTCCTGTCGCCCTGTCTGCCGGGGAGGCAGCA